ATCTCTTGAGGAAGTTAGAGGTGAAATATCTTCTCTATAGTTCCTGGTTATGTTCATGAGCACCTTGGCTTTGAACTAATCTGGCCACAAAGTGCTTCCTGCACCTTTGTTTTTTTTTTTTTGCATTATTTAGGAGAAAAACATAAATAGTAACATTGCTCATCTTCTGAAAATGATAGTTGCCTAGCAGTGTGTACCTTTAATACTCCAGAATCACAGTAGTAGTCAGAATTCCTAATCTTTACACTTGATCCACCAGTGTATCAGAACATATTAATGCATTTTCCTCAGTATGATAAAAAATTAGCAATTGTATAAGGCATTATCAGCTTCTATGACAGGTGTGCTTAAAAATTAAATATCCGTCATGGAAAGTGAGGCTTTTTCCTGATTGCTTTTTCAGGTTTGCAGAAATGGCAGAGCTCTCATCTGTGGAGCCCCTGTAGGACATAACATAGGCAATTTAATCTTCCATCATACACAAAAAACTGAAACACCAGATTTGGATTGACTGACAATTTAACCATTTGCAGTATATTAGGGGATACATTTATTATTCAAATCATTTGCAGTCAGGTAATTTCTTTTATTTATTATACACAATCTCCATCCACTCATTTGTTGGGTCAAGTCCAATTAATTGAACATCAGGATTTCTTGACAAAGTTCTTGGCAACATTACAGGGGATGTTACAGCCTCCACCTGTAGTCATCTTTTATTATCTGCCTTCTGCCCTCTAATAATAATAATATTAGAGGCCAATGATTCCTATAGCTGGTCAACCATGCTCACCACTGCACAAACTCACCCAACAACCAAAGTCTTGGAAGTCCAAATGTTAGCTTTAAAGCATATTTAAACCCCAAAACATACATACAATATATTTGCACTTTGCCAGTCCTTAAATGTGGTGTCTGCATTAGTTTTTCCTTTGTTCTCACCTGATGATCCTGCCAATAATGCACATTTCCAATCATAGAATGTCAAAAGTCACTTACCCTTCTGTATCAGGACAACAGAAACAAGATAGGACTATAGAACCCTGGTACTCTCCTATTGTCCACAACAAAGAGGGACATGGTTCCCTAGTACAGTGGTGTATTTATCCCTTGTGCTGCCCTAGGCAACACTAAAATCGAGTGCACCCTACCAGCACCATGCCAGCCACCACCCCTCCCCTGACCATGACCACCAACAACAACTCCGCCCACTGTGGGCTCTCCTGTGTTTGGTTTGAGTGCTGTTGAGGCTCTGGGTGGAGGGAGAGGATGAGGCAGAAAGGGTTACTACGCCATGAAGGATATGACAACCGGGGCAGCTGGGTCCTCCTCAACTCCAACCGAGGGGATGGCTTGCTCCTGCTGAGGACAGGTGAATCAGCCCAGAGTGCAGGGGCAAGAACGGGGAACCTGCAGGAGAGCCAACGGGGGAAGTAGGGAGCTCAGATGAGCTTTTTGTGGAAGCCACTGTATTATAATAACAGGGGGCGGCACTGCCCCTCCCCTGAATATTGCCGCTCCAGGCAAACACCTTGTTTGCCTCGCAGTAGGTACACTGCTGCTCAAATAACAATGTAATCAATAACAGTAAACATGGTCAGAAAGCACAGAAAGTTATCAACTCACAAGATTGATGTAGGATCTACAACTATCTATTTACAATCTACAATTTTGATCTTATGAAACATGGAACAAAACACTTTCAACAACATATTTTACAAACTGAAAGGGACCAGATAAGAAAAGTCCATTGTGTGGGATTGCATGTATATTAAAATCCTAATTTGCTTCACCCACATTCTAATTCAATATCTCTAAATGTGAGCAGCAGGTGCTGGCATAGGAAGGTAGATTTAAACAAGCAAATCTGCTTCATTTACATATGCCCCTTTGTCTCAGAAAGATTGTCCATATGTAGGGAGATGCAGTGTATCCATATTTCTCCAAGTTATGGAACTAAAACCTTATCTCGAGTCCTGAGCTTTCTGGATAATAGATTCCATGCCTGTATGGGAATTTGTGAGTAAAGTAATGGAGGGGAACGCAGCACAATGAAATGTATACACCAATGTTCTGTAAAGCACTAAAATCTATACAGCAAGAGTAATCCTGCTTTGTTTCAAGCCATATATTTCCAATGTGCCCCCCTTCCCCATATTCCTGGTAATATCCAGTTTCCTCCATGTGATGATCACTCCTCGTTTCATACTCTCTGGCTTGTTACAGGGTCATGGGTCTGCCCAAAACTGTGTGTCTGCAGAGTTCCCAGGCTAATTAGATAAAGATGGGGGTCTGGTTTTGTTCCACGTTAGCTATAATGTAAAGTACTTAGTGCAGGACTCACCCTATGGGAGGCTGGCTTGACAGAGCAAGGTTACCCAGGAATGTTTTTGTCTCAAGTCTGCTAACCAAATCAGAAATATTTACTTCTTTGTCACAGTTTGTTGCATGTACATAGGGTTTGAGTCCAGTATGGACCTAGAATATAACCACAGGGCCTGCACACTTGTACTTGGACTGTTGAGATCTGGGGGTTCCAAGCATAACTGCTGTCCTTATATTTAGCAGGTCTGTGTTCTATTTCATGCTTCAAAAAATAAAATAATTTCTCATTCTTTGAGCCTCCAACTGCCCTATCAGATTTAGAAAAATATGAAATTATACCTAATTTTTTTAAAGTTATCATTTTAATGTCAGAATAAGATAGATGGGGGCATTTTAAAAGTTGCATTTAGTTAATAAATGGGGTTGCTTATTCAAAAGAAGAGGCGTTGTCCCAAATCGCTAGCATAGAGTACTTCAATGGAGACCCCTTAAAAATGTATAGCACAGTATATTACAATTGCTAGCTGTGTTTTATAGATACACAATTATCAGTATTATCAGTATTGACAATCACTATTCCAAGGACAATGATGAACATACAGCTTTTTCTTAACAACGGAAACAGCGGTCTGGTACCAAATCTCTATAAGGATTAGTCCGTATCAAACACCATAGAAGTTTCGGAGGCATGTTGGGAGTTCCTATACCTTAGCTTATGGCCATAAATGGAGAGCTGCTGGAGGGGAGTAACTTCCTGAGAGGATGGTCTCTTATATGACCAAAACGTGCATCTGACCATCTTCTTTGGGATCAAAAAGTCTGGTGAGTGAGCAATTTTTATATTCCCTGCCGGCACGTGGTGAAGATATGTCACTTTCTTGGTTTGGGTAACAGTGCAAAGAAATTGAAAGGATTATCACCTTTTTCCAAATTTAAATTCACTTGCAGACTTTTAAAAATCTTGTGTTTCTTTGGTTTTGATGTTTTTTGTAAAGTCAGTGGGAAATTAGCACTCACCTTTAGGTGTAATATAGGTTTTCTGGTCTGACCTAGGGGCATGTTGTGATACTAGCCTCTTATAAGTACATGAACATTTTATCATTTATGTAGCACCTGTCTAGTTATATTAGTCATTTGCACAAGTGTGGTCATTCACCTTATTAGGGGCACACATATTTTTATTTTTACTTGGCGCCATAATAATAATTTCTAATTTACACAATTATCATCCCCTAGTCTGTACATTTTAAAATTTTTATGGTCTCTATGTTGTACTAATAAAGTTTGATGTATTTTATATACAATCCATGTTGAGTGTTGCCTGACAATAGTCCCATTAGTAGAGGTCATCTAATTTGGTGTAACAATAGGGATGATGGCATAATTCTCAAGCATTCTACTAGGTAATTATATATGTCTGCAGAGTGCAATAAATGCAGCCATCTTGTAAATTGATCAATATGAAACAAGCATTCTTTTCCATTCACAAGAAATTAGTGACATCACTATAGGACACAACACAACTTTTTGTAAAGATCCTAAAGAAAGCTGCTTTCTGATTGGTGTGTGGCAGGTTACCACAGTGGCAGATGTATACAGATGAAATGTAGGCTCCAGCCATTGATCAAGTCCCTCCCTACCCCCACATTTCCAGGCATTACAGAATTTCTGTGTAGCTCCCATGTTGTGCTGATAGTTCTTTACTCCAGGGAGTCTTCCATGTGTTTGGTGCATGGAAAGATCTCCAATGACCCAATTTATTGGAAGCTGCCACACATCCCTATTAATATCATCAGTTCACTCATATCCCTGGAACTAGGAAAGAACACTACAAAACTGCATGTTATTAGGTTTCCTCCCGCACTCCAAAGACATGCTGGTAGGGTAACTGAATCCTGTATAAATTGGCCCTAGTATGTGTGTGTATGCATGTGGGGTAGAGACCTTAAATTGTAGGCTTCTTGAGGGTAGGGACTGATGTGAATGTATATTTTGGTTATATGGTAATATGGTATATTGGTGCTGCGTACGTTTCCTGTAATAAATAAACAAAATCGGTAAAGGCAAATGAATGGTGAGAAAACAAAACTTTAAGTGATTATTTTGTTAGTCCTGCCACAGACAGGCAGATCTTGTAGGTGACTAAGAGGTATGGCACTCCTTGAAGTGACCACTGGGCCCTGCAACCCTTGTATGCCATCACTCTTGATTCCTGACTTTTTGGAGTGTTTCTCATGGTGAAAGAATGATTTCATATTGCTATGAAAAAGTGATCAGACGTGATTTCCTCCAGCAAGTTAGCCATTTTTATGTCTATCTCCAGTTCTAGAATCAACCATACTATGACATTTACATTTTGCATTTGAGGCAAATAGAGCCCAGATTGTGTTTTATGCAGACGTTACATACTATAGTTTATGTGGCTGGGTTTGAGTAACATGGCCTCTATTATGGCTGTGTGGCCCTTAATGACCATAGGTATTTGTGGTAATACAGGGTGATAGACCACCTATCAAATAATTGTGGAAGGTGGCAAAAGAAATTACAGAATGCTGTCGAGGAAACACTGCAGCCCTCAAAAAGTCCACTCATATGTAGTCATACCTTACAACCTCACGTTGTCAAAAAATAAAAGTCAGCAGCTACAAAAACTGTAGCTGCTGACTTTTAAAAAAAAAACAGCCACTTACCTGTTCCTCGGTCCCACAGTGTGTCCCCCGCAGCCCGTTTCACCGGCCGTCCTGTATTCCAGGAGGCTGGCATCTTCAGTGTGGGCGCCTGGCTGTGATAGCTTGGGGCTTCACAGCTGGGTACCCACTGCGCACGCGGGAGTAGCGCTGCACTTCATGAATGGCCCTGTAGTCTTCTGGGACCTGTCACGTGTCCCAAAAAAGTACAGGGAGGCAGGACACCTTCCGCTTCCAATCGCCTAGGTCAGTGGTCGGCAAGCCGCGGCTCGCGAGCCACATGCGGCTCTTTACACACATTAATGCGGCTCTTCTGTGTGCCGGGCGCCCGCTCCCCTCCCTCCTCTCGGGCGGCCGCCCCAAAAGTCAGGACTCTGCAGCTAGCCCAGCAATGGGCAAACTACGGCCCGCATACGGCCCGGCGGACCTTTTAATCCGGCCCGCAGAGCGTGGCAAACATTGGCTTTCAGGATGTAGGCGGGGCAGCGTGACGAACTCCTCTCCTCTCACAGTCCGCCCTGAAGACCGGAACGACACGGGAACACGGCGAGAGGAACGCGCGGAGCAAAGGTAAGTGAATTGACACAATATGGGGAATGAATTACTATAGGGGGGATGAATTACTATATGGGGGATGAATTACTATAGGGGGGAATGAATTACTATATGGGGGATGAATTACTATGGGGGATGAATTACTATATGGGGGATGAATTACTATATGGGGGATGAATTACTATGGGGGATGAATTACTACAGTATATGGGGGATGAATTACTATATGGGGGATGAATTACTATGGGGGATGAATTACTATATGGGGGATGAATTACTATGGGGGATGAATTACTATATGGGGGATGAATTACTATAGGGGGGATGAATTACTATATGGGGGATTAATTACTAAGGGGGATGAATTACTATATGGGGGATGAATTACTATGGGGGATGAATTACTATATGGGGGATTAATTACTATGGGGGATGAATTACTATATGGGGGATGAATTACTATATGGGGGATGAATTACTATGGGGGATGAATTACTATATGGGGGATGAATTATATGGGGGATGAATTACTATGGGGGATGAATTACTATGGGGGATGAATTACTATGGGGGATGAATTACTATGGGGGATGAATTACTATATGGGGGATGAATTACTATGGGGGATGAATTACTATGGGGGATGAATTACTATATGGGGGACGAATTACTATATGGGGGATGAATTACTATATGGGGGATGAATTACTATGGGGCATGAATTACTATATGGGGGATGAATTACTATGGGGGATGAATTACTATATGGGGGGTGAATTACTATAGGGGGGGTGAATTACTATAGGGGGGATGAATTACTAGGAAGGGTGAATTACTATGGGGGATGAATTACTATGGGGGATGAATTACTATATGGGAGATGTATTTTCAGTTTTAAAAATGTGGCTCTCAAAATAAATTTCAATCGTGGTTTTGGCGAGATTTGGCTCAGTTGAAAAAAAAGGTTGCCCACCACTGGCCTAGGTGATCGGACCAGAAGTGGGAGTGGGTACCTGTCAAATTCGGGTACCCGCTCCCCCCCACCCCCCAAAGGTGCCAATCCTTAATGGGGAGCAGAGGAGCAGTCCTTAAAACGGAACTTCCCCTTTTGGGTAGAGCTACTCTTTAAGATGAGTTTTATATAATCTTTCACAGCTTTGTGCCTTTGGGCAAGACTGCAATTGTCATATAATTCAGTGTAATGCAGCTCTCCTTTCTTTTTGACAGAGACAGGTAAAAAAAACTCCATTACATAAACTTAAAGCAGTATTAAACCCCATTATTAATCGTTAAATGTGGTGATTGCATTACTTTTCTTTTTTGTAGGCTTTCTTCCCTTTTATTTTCACCTGGCGATCTGGCCACTAACACACTTCCTATCTTAGGGCCAGTTCACACTGTAGAAACGCAGTACAGATGCGTTTTAGATGCGTTTCCACATGCTCATTTTTAATGCATTCCTGTGCATTTTTTGATGTGTTCCAGTGGGTTTTTTATGCATTCCAGTTCATTTTTTTGCCTCTTTTTCTTCTGATTAAATAGAGACGTGCATTCCAGTGTGGTGCATTTTGGTACATTCCGGTGTGTTTTTGATGCATTTTACCATGTTCCAGTACAGTTCTGTGCAGAAAAAATGCAGCCTGTTCTACTTTTTTTCTGCAACCACAATGCACTGGAACTGCAAGCACTGATGTGAACTATGACATTGACAACCATATAACCTACTTTCTGTGCGTTTATATGCAGAAAAAAACAACTGAAAAGCATGTAGTGTGACCTTGCCCTTAGGGTATCTCCACTCTGGGTCGAGAGGCAGCAGATGCACCATTACACATCAACATTGTCAATCTGGGGGGGTGGTAGTGTTTTATGCACTAGCAGATTTCTAGATGGACCTGACTAACAAATGAAAGCACATTTTAAGCAGTTACAGCTACAGTTTTTTTTTTTTTTTGAAAAAAAGGAATAAAAACTGACCATTATACGTACCCCTGTTGGTTTTAAAGTGAAAGGCATAAATACGCATCTATGCTCCAACCATCTTACGCCCACAAAGTCTCTTGCGGGTGTTGGTATCTTCATCCTGGGCTCTTCTGAGCGCCAGGTTTCGGCTACTTTGATTGGCCAGTGTGGGATGATGTCACTATCTCTCATGCATGGGAATGCAGCAACTAGCAATAAAAAGCCTGCTTATTTGCAATTTTTTATTTTTTACACGACCTGCATTTTATCGCACTGTATGAACACAGGTCACTTCAAGGACACAAAGAAAACAATTGTTTCCTATGTGTCCTATTCACATTGCAATGCAAGCAAAAAAGGGAGCTCTGTGATGCGGTAAAACGTGCACCACATTGCCCGCTATCACCGGCTAGAATGTACAGCTGCAACACACTAAAGCACTACGGTTTAGTGTGCAGCAGATGCCCTGGGCAGTGCGAACGGGCCCTTACTGGCTAGATCACCAGGTAAAAAAAATCCTAAAAAAAAAAGAATATCAGTCCAGTCACCAACATTTAAGAATTGGTTTAAAAACTGCTTTAACCTCCCTGGCGGTATTCCCGAGTGTAGCTCGGGGTAAAGTTTCAGTACCAAAAGCGGTAACCCCGATCTACACTCAGGCTTACCATGCGGCGTTGCTCAGGGAGTCCCTGCAGCGCTTACCTTGTCCTTCGCTCCCACGATGTGTCCCCTGCAGCGTCCCCGGCCATCTCCTCCGGCCGATGCCGGCATCCGGCTTCCATGTTCCGGTCCCTGTGACGTCGGGACGTACGGGCGCCGGAACCGGCGGCAAATTTGAAAATTTTTTAAAAATTTCATTTTTTTTTAAAATGATTATTACATAGTAAAACATTGCTGTTTCAAACCATTTCACATACATTTTGTCCCTACTGCTTTGTCCTGTCCCCTGCCTGCATTTTGACTTCTTTCTGCCTGGAAACTGAGAAACGTCCATGGCGTCCAAAAAGCATCCCTTTACGTCAAAAGCGGTTTTAGACCAGCTAGAGAACAGCGATAGTAAATCAGAACCACTTGCAGAATTGAGTGATAATGATTCGTGGGGAAATTCGTCATCAGACACTGAAAACGATTTTGCGACTTTGCTCAGCGATGTGCGAATTTGCCTCTGTATTTCAAATTTCAGTGTTTTTGGTTTGATTATATTATTGAATTAAATTTATTATTATTATATTATTATTTTTTTATGATTATTTATTAAATTATAATTTATGATTTTGTGTTTCAAATTTTATCATAGCCGGGATGTTTACTAGACTCTTGTTCGTACAGATTTTAGTGAGTTATTCCTAAAAATTACAGCCTACAATAAAAAACTACATATTTCCATGCAAAATAATGGTACCGCTTTCAGCACAAAAAAATCGGAAATAATCAGACCGCTAGGGAGGTTAAAAATCCCTGACCTGTGCATTCACCTGGCCTGGCAGCAGGTGTTCCCAAACAACAGATAAATGAATTTTGTGGAACCCCCAATCGAACAATTTTCTCTTCGCTGATGAGCAGGATGTTTTAACCGATAACGATATTGTGAACAAAAAAATCCAGTTGAACAACTGGTGAAAAATGTTGTTTTGCATACAAACAACTGATTTTCTATGCGGTGGTATGACGGTCGTACGAAAAAATCTATCAAGCGCTATCACGCATGAGCGGAAAACAAGATGACCCGGATGTTTATGTCCAAGGAATCTTTGTAAACACAAACAAAAAATCCAAATGTTCAAAGTAGATTGTCCTAATGAGATAATGAAACCAGAATGCTGCAGATTATATTTTATGTATCACTATTTATGTATATAGGTCATGTAATAAACTATATTATACCCATTGCTGGTAATTGTGTACATCGCTCGCTGGCTACAAGATCACACGCACACTGCATCACTTCCACTTGTACGGAAGACATCAACACTACGTATTGCCCAACGAACAATTTTTTTAGATTGATTAATGTGGGCCATAATTTCAACCAACGAATGAACGTCTCTCGGTCGTCGGATGACCAATCGGTCGATTTTCTAACCGTGTATTCCCACCTTTTGTCTAGATGCCTTGTCCCCTGTAGGTATTGCTGTTTATTTTTGCATGAAGTGAAACTTTACGTAAATAAGTGTACTCTTGACTGAAGAAAATAATGATTTCTTATTTTCTGGTCCTTGTAGGCTTGCATAAGAGAGAAATATAATAAGGTCATATCACTAGGCCTGAGTTTATTTTCTCAGAATTCAGGCCTGTTGGCGTGTACTCTGCTGTAGCCTCTTTATGTGCCAGAATATTCCCTTGTACTGTACATATTTCTTCATGTGTGTGTATAACCGATGACTTCTGAACAACCGCTCTGCTTTCCACCCAATATTTTTGCCAAAGGGCAGCCATTGTGGAACCTGCAACGTTCAACTCAAATATGTAACAAGCATGAATATATAATAAGTCATTATACACCTCCTAATTCTGCACAACTTTGTGAAGCGGGAATCTATTACCATGTAGTGGGCACTGTAGAATTCCATATATTTATGGCTTTATTATGTATTTATAATATGCCCCAGGCCCAGCTCTATGTACATAGAAACTGCTGCCTACTTGATCACTCTAGATTGGAAATCTTAAAATATTGAGAGGCTGCCGGACATAATGTCCCAGGCTCAGTTTCCCCTTTATACATTTCTGATGATTGTTGCGGAAAGGAATACTGCTATAGGGTCAAGGAACAGATGGTCCCATTCCTTTTGTTTACTTTTTCTAACCCAGCTTCATTATACAACCTCATTCAGCATTCAATCTCAAATAGTAAATCTCTTGGCCTGTATTACATGAGTGTACGAGAGCGAGCTTGTCGTAGGAAACCCTGTGATTGACAAACTTACTCAGGAGAGCATCATTTTCCTGTATGAGTTGTATCCATGTTATTTGTGCTGTCAACTTTAATTGTTAAGGGTAGCACAATATATTATTGGGCTTCTTTTAGGCTTTATTGTCACCTTTTTTTAAAATGTATATTTTTTTCCCCATGTGTTGTTAAATTTTAACCAGTATAAAAAATCACCAGTAAAATGACATATTTTCATAAAATGGAAATGTAGATTTGGCAAAGAGACAGTTCTGCTACAAACTTATTATAATTTTTCAGTTGGGATTATTTGGGTAATTTATTTGTATGAATAATGCAAAGAGCAATGTACAGACTGCAGTAACATTGAATTTGTAACTCTTCTCAGTCACTCTTGTGACTTAGACACCCTTCTATGAGACAGCTCAGTCACGTTGATGACCTTAAAGTGTTACTAAACCCACAACAGTAAAAATCAGTCTGTATATGCAGTAAAACATGCTTGTTATACTCACTGTGGAACCTAAGGGGTTAATCTCTGCATTGTATAAAAAGGCTGTGTGATCTCTTCTTATCTGCCCCTCCTCTTGTTCAAATGCCCAGGCTGATAAGACAAACTGTACCATGCCCTTCTGCACATGCTCAGTTTAGTGTGTATTGTTAGAGAGGTTTTTTTTTGCTTGGGAGAGTGCATGTGATTAGCACAGGGCCAATCAGCACTGTCCAAACAGAGGTCAGGGGATTTCTGACCTCCTAGAGAAAACTCCTCCTACAAGCTTTAACCAGTGCTCTGCTGAAGTCACAAGACTGCTCTAACTGCTGATGAGAAAAGGTATTTAGCAGTTTATATTTACTAAAATAATTGCATTTTCATGTTCTGTGTACTGTGGGAGATCAGATATAGTGAATGCAGGGTCCTGGGTTTAGTAACACTAACTTTTTTTCCGTTGCAGTCAAAGCTGATATTCAGCTAAACAGGCGACATACACCAAGAGATAGGTTTTACATAGGATTTTATTTGTAGTTGTTCAGTTCTGAGCTGGGGCGGACTGACCATTTGAGCACTCGGGCATTGCCTGAGGGCCCGGGGTCAATAGGGGGCCCCATGAGATGCTCCTGGTACCTTTCATTGACTTTTTCATAGGCTTTTTTGGGTGTGGGCGAGGACACAGGGGCCCCATGATCCCCATTGCTCGGGGGCCCCATGAGTTGTCAGTCCGCCCCTGGTTCTGAGAATTACACAACTCTGTCTATAACAACAGTTTTTCACTCTCCAAACA